AAGATCTGAGTACTTCTACAAGATCTGAGTACTTCTACAAGATCTGAGTACAATATTGTCAGGGTTGGGGAAAATCAGGACCCAAATGCAGAATGAGGAGAAGGGGTACAAGGTACAACAAAAAGCGATCTTTAATTAACAAAAGCTGTTGACTATGAAAACAACATAAATCCATAAACTGGTAGCACGAGGTACGGACAAAAACCAACAGGGACAAACATGGAGGTGCAAAGAAGACGACGACCGAACATGGAGCAGAGGGAAGACAAGACTAAATGGGCTGACGGCACGGGGCAACGCAGAGGCAGCAGGGGCGTCAGAACTCTCTTAGTTTATTGTTTTACTTCTGGTCACATCCTTATTTTTTCCTCACGTTGCCCCAATCCTCTCCCGTGAATCCACGCTCTGTGACGTCATGTTTTTAAAATGTTGGAGATGTGTATTTTGGTATCTTGGTGTTTTGTATCTGAGGGGAGAACGTGTTCTCATCACGAGGTTCTCCGCGCTGAAGGATCCTTTATAGTTTGCTCTAAACACGCCATATCTAAACACCACAGGACTAAAGATCTCTATTGCACAGAAGGCACTCATGTTTTAGCTCTATGAAACCTGATGTACTTATATGATTCGGTTTTCTTCAAGGTTGTATCTTTCTGGTCGAATGTACTTATTGTAAGTCGCTTTGGATAAAAGCATCAGCTATGCAATGTGATAATAATAATAACAATAATAATAATAATAATAATAATAATAATAACAACACGGTAGGACAACATAGAAAAACTTTAATTCCTGAGCACTTAACCAATAACATTTACATTGTTTCAGCATGATGGACATTTTGAGTCCGACTTTGTCACAAAAACACGACATTAAAAATACATATCTTGGGTAAATGAAAATATTTATTTATAAACAGTTCCTGTTTACTTCTAGCTAAACGAAGAAACAACATTCTGCAGACATTGAACATTAAACTAACTGCAGAAGATTTATAAGATTTATATTTACATACAATCATACAGAGCCATAGGCTCCCTTTGGTCAGCTTAATTGTGCAGCGCTGGTGGGGGGGGGCACTGTCCCCACCTTATTGCTGATGTTTACAGTGGAGGCAGGGCCGTGGGAAGTACGGCGGCTGAGGGTGCCGAATTTTCAGCCTTGATGTAACAACATTCATAAAGTGAACTCCCTTTTCACCACGGTTACACTTTCCATTTGCCCTGTACGATGGCCGCTGTGTAAGTGGGGGATGTTGGCTTACAGCCAAAGTGAGAGAGAGAGAGAGAGATAGAGAGAGAGAGG